GGATTATACATAAAACACAAATAACCCAGGGCAGAAGGGGAGTTACCACAATTGTTTAGCAGGCGTATGGTCAAAGGATCGGCTTCACTTGTTTCTTTGACGAGTTGTTGTATAGTGCTAAGAATAGCACTAATCCTTGACGATGCTAACTACGATGCCGGCGAAGCGTTTGGGAATGCACCACGTCCACGGTTCAACTTTGGAAATGATCATGCAGACAATGGACTCCGGACTAGGTTCGTTTCTCATAGTCGCCCTACCAACATAACCATGCGCGAAAACAAGGTCAAACAACCTCTCAATATTTTCTGCTTAGAATTAGCTTATTTCATTTTAAAGTTAAACTTATTTGTTTGAGGCTGACTGCTTGATGATTATAAATTTCATTCTAATTGTTACTCTTTCATTATCCCATCTACCTAGCTCTTCCAAATCAACAGCATTCTCTTGTCACTGCATCCTCAGCCTCTGTCGATGCCTTCTACGCCTCCCTCTCTCAGCCCCTACTTTTTGGCGACGAACGCGATAGCCTCGTTTCTCGATGGAACCAACTCCAAGCTATGTGGGGCACCGGACTGGGCTTCGCAGCTCTTGGCGGTCCCGTAACATACACACCCGAAAATCCTTTCGCTAGATTCAAAGGCATAGCTTACCATGTCTTACCCACTAGCCAGGAAGCTGATGGCCTCGTTTGTTTGGAGCTGGCTAGACCATTATCTGAAGTACGTGTCCACTGGCAAGCTCTGCAAGATGCTCTCTTCCGACTTCTTGGTGGAAGGCCTAATTACCATTTGCTCTTGGAGGAAATGAGACCAGCTGGTCGGGATGCTAATCACACGGAAGTGATTGTACGAGTAGCAGAACGTCATGCATCAGGCAAGTGTTCCTTCATTCATTCAAGTATTGATAAATAAATTTATTGACTTTCATTTGAGTAATATGTCAGTTCAACAAATGCTAGCATATCTAAATGGCTGAGGCTATAGATTTTTTAAGGCTCGTCTCTGAAGGCGATGGAGGATTCCTATCGGCCAGCTGTCGATTGGTTTTGCTGTTAATGCTGTCCTTGAGGGAATCTCCTTTGATTCTGTTGAAAACGTCTCAGGCTTTTGTCCCTCAAAATTATGAGCATGATTAGAAAGGAGTATGGCTCTTACATAAATGTGAGCTAATTGATCAATACTGAAATCGATGGAGATTGCTTAGGGGACAGCGCCAACATGAAGCCTCTAATACAGCGAAGCGACAGCTGATCAAGAAGAATCCACCAAGAATTTATGTGGTCCGACTTTTCCCCTTATATAGTATGTAGAATTTTCGGTACGATCACCGTATCAGCTAGCAGATAATC